CCTCAGTCCCCATCAAAGGAGGTACCCCACACACTTCTCCCAGTTGCCATCAGCTGCGCCATCATGTTTTCTTGAATCTCATTGACGGTTTGAAGTCTCTGCTCTTTCAAAGGTGACTTTAGTTTTGGGAAAAGCCAGAACTTGCAGGGCGCCAAATCTGGGCTGTAGGGGGCTGAGTCACCTGGATGATTTGTTGTTTCACCAAAAACCCTTCATGAGACATGATGCACGAGAAGGTGTGTTGTTGTGATGGAGCTGCAAATCACCAGTTAGCTGTGGCCTTCTGAATCATCCAAATAATTTCCGTGGAGGAATTTTCAAGCTTGATGCAAATTTGTTGCTCTACAGTCATTTTGAATGTGATGGCCACACAGTGCAATGTTCAGTCATGGTGTCTACCACCCCCACTGACTAGTACAGTGCAGTTGTTATTGTCCATGCATGCGCATTCCAGTCCATTCTCCTTGACTGCCGGGTTACATCCATGTCGGGCAAACCATTCTTGTTATTAACAGTAGCTGGACTTCTTGATGGATCTCACATATACAAACATAAGTATTTTCTGTTCTTTCCATTATTTTTAATTCCCTCATCAAATAAATCACAGTGCTAGTAAAGCAGCAAAAGAAAATAAGCTAAGGCTTCCATTTTTGCCAAGGATGGTCCCTTAATTAAGTGAAGACTTGAATGTACATTAAAAAGTCACCTGGGAAACTTGTTAGTGTTTCCTGGGCCTCATTTCCAGAGTCTGATTGAGTTGGTCAGAGTGGGATGTACATTTCAAACATCACTGGAGCTGCTGCTTGTCTAAGGCCTTCACTTTAAGGAACACTGCCTCATTTGAGTCAGAGGTGACTGTGTAGTGATTGGAAAACTTAGAAATGCTCAAGACTACTTCACTAAACTGTAACATCAGGCATATCATTTAACCTCTCATATGTTTCATTAGTAGTTGATCTCTTTCTCAAACATAGTCTTTATTCTCCTAAAATATGCTTCTCAGTACACCTGTTGATACTTTCTCACTTGTCTTTGAACTAAAATTTCCTAAGATCCAATAGATCTAACCATTCTTCCCTCTTCTATATTTTTTAGTAATTTATGATTTTTTAAGTTGTCTTTTAAATATTTTATTTATTTTCAGACAGGGGGAAGGGAAGGAGAAAGAGAGGCAGAGAAACATTAATGTATCATTGCCATTCACGTGTCCCCTATTGGGGACCTGGCCCGCAACCCAGGCATGTGCCCTGACTGGGAATTGAACCTGAGACCCTTTGGTTTGCAGGCTGATGCTCAATCCACTGAGCCACACCAGCCAGGGCTAATTTATGACTTTATAAACATAATGATATTTGTTTTCTTCATGGTACTTAAATGTATCTTATTTCTCCACACATACAGATTTCCTTGATAATATTTTTTATTTTAAAGAAAAATTTGCTTGTAAGAAAATATTTATATGTAGGCAGCTTTGAATCATTAAGTTTGTTACATTATGTATGTATATATTTTTTCTTGTTTTTAATTTTCCTCCTGCCTTACCTGTAACGCCTACCTCTGGCAACTACCAGTCTGTTCTGAGATTTTTGGTTGGCTGGTTGGTTGGTTGGTTGGTTGATTTAGACCCCACATATAAAAGAGATCATAAGGCATTTGTTTTTCTCTAATTTATTTCATTTAGCATAATGCCCTTAAGACCTATCTTTGTTGTCACAGATGGGAAGATTGCACCTGTTTGATGGCTAAATAATCATTCATTCATTCATTCATCCATTCATCCATCGTTGGACACTTAAGTCATTTTCCTGCAATGGCTATTGTAAATAATGCTGCAGTGAATATGGGGGTGCAGATATCTTACTGAGTTACTGTTCTAATTTTATTTGGATAAATACCCAGAAGTGGAATTGCTGAATCATATATGGTAGTTCTGTTTTTAACTTTTTGATGAACCTACGTTATTTTCCATAGTGGTGGACCAATTTATATTACTACCAACAGTGTACAAGGATTTCCTTTTCTCTCCATTCTCACCAAGTTATTTCTTGTCTTTCTGATAATAGCCATTCTAATGAGTCTGAGGTGATAGTTCATTGTGGTCCTGATATTGCATTTGCAATATTTGCATTTTACGTTTGCATGGTCAGTGAGGTAGAGAACATCTTTTCATGTTAGCCATCTTTATTATGTCCTTTTAGGGAAAAAAGTCTATTCAGATATTCTGCCCATTTTTAATCAGGTCTGGGGGGAGGATTGCTATTGAGTTGTTACGAGTTCTTTTATATATTTTGGATATTAGCCCCTTAATGGATATACAGTTTGCAAATACTCCCAATCAATAGGTTGTCTTTTCATTTTGTTGACTACTTTGATGTGGTTTTTGCTTTTGTTGCATTTGGTGGTGGGGTGGGGGTGTCAGATTTAAAAAGTCATTGCCAAGGCCTATGTCAAAGGAGCTTAGTCTATCTTCCAGGAGTTTTATGGTCTCAGGTCTTACATTCAGGTCTTGAATCCACTTTAATTTTCTTGTATGGTGTACAATAGTCGTCAAGTTTCATTCTTTAGCTTTTGACTGTCCAGTTTTCCCAGCTCTATTTATTAAAAAGACTATCCTTTCCCCATTGTATATTCTTGCCTTGTTTGTCTTTAGTTCACCATATGCCTGTGGATTTATTTTTGGGATCTCTGTTCTGTTCATTCATTGATACATGTCTCTTGCTATGCTAATACCGCACATCTTTCATTACTGTAGCTTTGTGAAACAGTTTGAAATTAGGCAGCGTGAATCCTCCAGCTTTGTTCTCCCTTCTGAAGATTGTTTTGGCTATTTGGGGTCTTTCGTGGTTCCATACAAATTTTAGAATTAATTTTATTTCTGTGAAACATGTCATTGGAATTTTAATACACTGTAATGGGATTACATTGAATGTATAGATTGTTTTGGGTAGTATGAACATTTTAACAATGTTGATTCTTCCTGTATATAGTATGGAGTATCTTTCCATTTATTTGCTATATTTTTCAATTTCTTTTATTAATCTCTTGTAGTTTTCAATATACAGGTCTTTTACCTCCTTGATTAAATTTATTCCTGGGTATTTTATTCTTTTTATTGTTATAAACTGAGTTGTTTCTTACCTTTCTTTTTCTGATAGTTCATTATTAGCGTATAGCAGTGATTTTCAACCAGTGTGCCACAAGAATTTTTAAAACATGCCATACCCAACTATTTAGTCAGGGGCACTGACCTTTCTCTTAGATTGTCAAATAGAAAATGACAGCAGCAACACAACTATAGCCATCTGGTGTGAATGAATCAAAATTATACCTGTTCTTTTGTCAGATCAGCAAAATATACATATTTTGGTGTGCTGTGGAATTTTAGTAATTAGTTTCTGTGTACCATGAGATGAAAAAGGTTGAAAATCGGAGGTGTATAGAAGTGCATCAGATTTTTGGGGATTTTGTATCCAGCAACTTTATGGAATCTGTTTATTAGTTCTAACTGGTGTATGTGATTTTGCTTCTCTATTCTACCATTATATTACTATATCTAGAGGATGTCACAGTACTGTAATCTTTTTTGTTTTACTGAATTTATTGGTGTGATATTGGTTAATAAAAGTATGTGGGTTTCAGGGATATAACTTTTCTTGATGAAGTCTTTAGGATTTTCTATATATAATATGTCATCAGCAAATAGTGGTAGTTTTACCTTTTTGTTTCCAGTTTGGATGCCTTTTATTTCCTCTTCCTCTTGTCTGATTGCTATGGCTAGGACTTCCAGTGCTATGTGAACAACAGTGGTAAGAGTGGGCATCCCTGTGTTTTTCCTCCTCTCAGAGGGAAAGCTTTCCGCTTTTGCCTTGGAGTATGATATTAGTTATGTTCTTTCTGTATTTGCATTTTTGAGAGTTTTAATCATAAATGGATGTTGAATTTTGCCAAATACCTTTCCTGCATCTATTGAGATGAATACAATGTTTATCCTTTCTTTTTGTTACTGTATTACGATGATTTACAGATGTTGAACCATCCGTGTTTACATCCCTGAAGTAAATCCCACTTGGTAATGGTATATGATCCTTTTAATGTATTATGAGTTCTGTTTGCTAATACTGTGTTGAGGACTTTGGCATGTGTAATCACCATGGATATTGGCCTATGATTTTCTTTTCTTGTGTCCTTGTTTGGTTCCGGTATCAGGATAACTCTAGCCATTTAAAAATTTAAGAGTTTCCCTTTCTATTTTTTTCAAAGAGTTTAAGAAGGACTGATGTTAAATACTCTTTGAACATTTGGTAGAATTCTCCAGTGAAGCTGTCTAGTCTGGATTTTTTGTCTGTTGGAAGATTCTTGGTTACTGATTTAATCTTTCTGTTACTGTTCCTTTCAGATTTTCTGTTTCATTATGATTCAGTTGTGGCAGGTTGTGTGTTTTTAGGAATTAATGATTTCTTCTAGGTTGTCCAGTTTGTTGGCTTACAGTTCTTCATAGTAGTCTCTTACAATCCTTTGTATTTCCATATAGTTTGTAACAGTTCCCCTTTCATTTCTGAATTTATTTGAGTCTTCTTTTATTTTCTTGGTGAGTGTAGCTAAAAGGTCTTGTCAATTTTGTTTATCTTTTTTAAAAAACGAGCTCCTAGTTTTTTTAATTCTCTCTGTTGTCTTTGTATCATTTATTTCTGCTCTAATTTTTTCTGTTTCTTCCTGTTAACTGTGGGCTTCATTCTTTTTTTTTCCTAATTCTTCAAGGTGTAAAGTTAGGTTGTTGATTAGAGACATATTTTATCTGCATTTAGCCTATACATTCTGATTATAATAGTAAATCATTAAAACAGTAATAAATTTAGGTGTTTAAGTGAATTGTCACTATCTTTAAATTTTCGTTAAGCCATTTTCTATAAAACTTTAAAATAGTATGATTTTGCATTTTGTATTGCTATTTTGGCAATGACCTATACTATTAGACATTTATATCTTCATTTCTATTTTAGGTACGTATTGCAGCAAAATTCATCATTCATGCCCCTCCTGGAGAATTTAATGAGGTGTTTAATGGTAAGTGTTTAGTTCACAGCACTAAGACTTGATATATCAAACACATATTTTTTTCAAACAATGAATGGCATAACTAAAATAACTGAGCTAAGGGGGAGTATGTAGGAGAAAATACTGTGAAAATATCTGTCAATCTGGATTTTGAAATGGTTAGAATATAATGTATTTGATATACATGGTGATTATGTTTGAATAAATTAATCCTCTTAAAAGTTATTTAAAAAAACAAGAACTTTTTAATTTTAACTATGTTTTGGAAGTTGGAAAGTCATTTTTGCAGTTTTTGTAAAGAAAAACATACTAGATTAATATGAACAGCCAAAGGGGGTGGGGGGACATAGTCTCGCCATACTTAGATGACAGCACATGTAAAAACATTTGTTATTTAAATTATGTCTCATATTCATACTATGCTTTTCTGTAAACCACACTGACAAACATTTTTTATAATTACCTAAAGATCAAAATTTTAAACTCTTGTATAAATTTATAGCAACTCCTGTTTGCTGTAAAAACTGTTACAATAGCTCCTTTAACACTAAGAAGGATGCATTTAAAATCTCCAGGAAATTAGCTTATGGTGATCTTTTCTACAAAACTTTTCTTAAGCAGTTTTAAGAATAAGATGCCATAAACTCTTTAAATGTGCTATTTCTAATTCATATATATTTGGCCTTTACCATGTCTTAAATTAAGATTAACTTAGATAGGATGTTTCTATTTTCTTTTTTAAACATTCTACCCCAGAGTAAACTATTTAAATATGTTTATTAAGAATTTTAATCAGTCATTTTTATTCATAGTATAAGAGTGATTTTTAACTAGCATACCACAAGAATTTTTAAAACATGCAGTACATGACAGTTAAGTCAGAGGCGCTGACCTCTATTTCTCAGATTGTCAAATTAAAAAAAAAAAAATGACAATAGCCAATACAACAATAGACAACCAGTGTGAATGAATCAATAGTACACCTATTTTTTTGTCTGATCAGCCAAAGATATAATATATATTTTGGTGTGCCACAGAATTTTAGTAATTAGTTTATGTGTGCTGTGAGAAAAGGTTGAAAATTGCTGGTTTAAGATACAATGAGAAATCTTAAGAAAAGGTCAAGTTTGAGAGGCAAAAATTGTACAAAGTTAAAAATACCCTTGAAAAATCTCTTAAATCATTCACAGAGTATAGTAATACATGATTTAGTTTATGCAGTCACATGTAGTACTACTCATGCATTTAAAAATTTAACCACTGCGGTACACTTAGAGGAAGAATGGCAAGTCTGCATTGTAAAAAAAAATTCTGGAAATTAAAATAATTCTGTCTTATGGAATAGTTATAAAATCTATAGTATAGTAGTGAATTTAGAAGTTAGGGAGAATTCAGAAGTATTTCTTCTTTCTGTAGATCTTAATTTCTGTTTTAATATTCAGCTGCTGTAACCTAAACATACATTAATACATTTGATTGTTGGAGCATTAAAGAAGATAAAGAAGACATAGTCTCCACTGCTGAGGTTTAAAAGTTGGCATGTATAATAACTTAATTAATGATTAAACTGCACTAAAATCAGTGGTTATCAGACTTATGTACAATTCACAGAGAGTGTATGAGTCCTAGAAATTGCTTTTCTAAGTCTTATTGGAAGTTGATACTGAACTGATATGTTCTGTGTTGGGATGCAGTACATTTGGGCATTTTGGATGAGCCATTAAGCAGGCCTGGGATGGAGAGTGAGCTGTGGAATAAAAGTGGGATACATTGGATATTATGAAAGTTTTAACTAAGGGGTTATTTTAGAGTTAAAAAGTAATTAAATATTTAAGGGGACTTGTATCAATTCAGTTATTTTCTATCTTTGTCGATAACATTGGCATCAGGGTGATTTCAAGAGAAGCCACACATTTCAGAATTGCAGTCATAAAATCTTGTCAGTTCAGTGGTTCCCGAATGCTCTTTCCTAGACCGCTACATTAGAGTCATTGAAACAGAGATTTTTGGTCTTCATTCTCAAGAACTGATTTGGTAGACCTGCACTGTGACTCTGAAATAATGTGGGATTTTTTGTTTTCATTTTTGTTTTTTAAGCCCTCCGCCCACTACTTTGTAGTCTAATGTGTAGCCTGGCTTAGAACCACAGCCTAAAATCCCTTCATTAAGAGTAGTATTTTATTCAAATTTTCTATTTCTTCCACTGTATTCTGCTTATGTTAAAGGCATGGTCTTATTTTTCAGAATAAAGTTATTTGATCAAATAGATTCTACTTTTAAATTATATTTTCATTTAAAACTGAAAAAGATATACTAGCCTGCAGTATCACATTTAATGACTATGTTTTAAATATTGAAGATGAAAGAATGATTAATCAAATAGAACTCCCCTGTTTGCTTTGTAAGATAGAAATAACTATAATTAATGTTTGTTTTTTAAGCAGAAGCTTCTATTTAAAATCAATTAATTTAAAAATAAAATTAGTGTTATTTAGTGGTTAGCAGAAGAGATTGTTTTTTAAATCGAGTCCTACTAAAAAGAGGTATGTGAGTAGGAAATATTTTTCCTTTCAGAACAGCTTTGTTATTTTTGTAAAAATCATTTTGTCGTAAAGTACCTAAAAATCACCCAAAATTCTACCCTCTAGTTCTCCACTGCTTGAATGAAATTCTTCCAACATCGCTCAATTTAGATACACACATAACATTACATAAATATGATAGTAGTGTACATACTGAGTTTCCCCCTTCCTGTTTGTTATGGTGTGGATGTTTTTCATTGTTGTTAAATACATATCTACATTACCTTTAATGGCTACCTAATTTCACATTGTTTATAAGAATTATAGTATATTTATATATTATTAAACCAGTTTCTTAATGGGAGATACTTAGGTTACTTTGTTACTTTCATCTAATGTAAAAATTAGGATACATTGTTGTATGTACTATATGATAACAACAATATAAAACAGCCAAGGTTATAGGAAAAATAATGAAAAAAGTACATACGAAGAGTAGAAATTTGGTTGTTTTTGGTGAAATTGATTTTTTTCTTTATGATTTACATAGTGCTTGGATTTTTCTAGTATTATTTTAAAGTTATGTTTTAATGATTAATAATGTCTATGTAATAATTAGGACAGAATTAAGAATTGAAAACCAAAACGAGATTACTGAATCAATTAAAGCACCTACCATATCAAACTAAATATATTCATCTTTTGTTTGAGGTCAGAAATGCCTACTTCTGCACTCTGTTGACTTGTCTAATCACTTTTTTAAAAAATACTGTATTTATAGATTTTTAGAGACGAGGGAAGAGAGGGAGAAGGAGAGGGAGAGAAATATGTGTGGGGTTGCCTCTTGCACACTCCCTACCAGGGACATGGCCTACAACCCAGGCATGTGCCCTGACTGGGCATCGAATTGGCAACCACTTGGTTCACAGTCCGTCAGTCAGTCCACTGGAGCCACACCAGCCAGGGCTATTTACTTTTCTATAAGGCAAGTTCATTTGAAACTCATGATAGTTTTGTCAAACTAGAGGCATTGTGCTAAGTCTGCAGATCTTATCACAACATCTTTTTGTTATAGCTTATCTTCAGTTCTTTGGAGATACATTACAGTCTGCTTGCATTAATTAACTATTAAGGGTATAAAATAACTTGTATTTCTATATCATTTCCTCTTCTGTCACCTAACAAAATTTTAAATTAATACTATGGTGTGTTTTTGTGCTTACATTGGTTGTCAGAGTGATATTCTGGTCTTGGTTACATCTTGGGCTGTGGGGGGCATTAAAACATTACCAAAATAACTGCATTTATTGCATAGACATTTCAAACATAGAAAAATAGTAACATAGGAAACTATTTGTTTTACAGATGTTCGGTTACTACTTAATAATGATAATCTTCTCAGGGAAGGAGCAGCCCAGTAAGTATTATATATTATATTAACATAATGAAAATGACTTAGGAAAAATATTTTAAAAGTGAATTTTAAGCACTAATCCCTGGAATAGATATTGGCACATCAAGCTCAAATATATAGAATTATACGTATGTACTAGGCTAGAGGAGAAATTTTTTATCACAGAGAGACATAAAGACACAATTGTATCATGAAATTCTCTACTCATTGTATGTTTGGCAGTGGCTTAAATACTTTTTTGCCCCATTTTGACTTTTGCAAAGTTGGATAAAATTGTTGTTAGAAACTTAGATATTTAAAATTATAATTACTTTTATTTTTATGCAGGTTTTACTTTTTATTATATGTTTGACCCTAATAAGGAATTTTGAGGGTCATGAGATTTTATTCATCCATAAATACCTAACATAGTACCTGACACATAATTACTTGAAAATATTTACCAGATTTGTGAGTGATTTAGAGAACAAGGCAATTCTAAATCCCAACACATCATCTTTGAACTGATGACCAGAATCATTACTTTGCCAAAACTATCTTAGGATTTCAAAGAAATTATTGATTCTCTTCCCGCAGCCACCTTCCAAAATAAGATCTAAAGACCCATCTTTTAGGCTAACCAACTTGATTACTCATTTGAAAATGGTGAAATGGAACAGATTTTTAGGTGCTTACAAAGAGTGTTTAGTATCTAACTACCTTTATCCTAGTACTATCCAACATGTGAAATCCTAATTAATGAGGGAAATTTGCTCTGATTCTGTATTTGTAGCATTTGAAGCCTTTATCAAGTCAATCTGATTTTGCTTCTGATTAAATTCTTGTTATTTTCAATAGCAGTTTTTACTTACTATTTTTTTTTTACTATGGGAAAAATATACATAATATAAAACTTATCTTTTTTCATTTTATTTTTTAATTACAGTTTATTATTTTGTTTTAATTTCAGATGCACAGCATAATGGTCAGACAATCATATAATTTGCAAAGTGATCCCCTCTATATTTCCTGTACCTGCCTGGGCACCGTACATAGTTATTACAGAAGTGTTCACTATGTTCTCTCTGTTGTACTTTATATCCCCACAACTATTTTGTAACTACCATTAAAATTTATCTTTTTAACCACTTTTAGCTTTACAGTGCTCTGGCATTTAAGTACATTGACATTGATTGTTGTATAATCATTACCACCATCTGTCTACAGAACATTTCTCATTATCCCAAATCAAAACTCCTTACCATTAAATAATAATTTCCCATTCTCCCCTCCCCCAAACCTGCTAGGTGCCAGGCATTGAGCTTGGTGCTTTCAGTGATATTAGACCCAACCTATCTTCTCGTGTATTTTGTTCTTCCTCGTCCCTCTAATTGAAATACTCTTCCCCCCTGCCCCGCCCATCCCTCCAACTTTTACAAGACCAGAGAGCCTACCCAGTATTTCAAGGCCATTTGTCAGTATAACATCCATTAGGAAATCACCCCTAATACTCTTTTCGTTTTAACCCTCAGCAGAATTTAATTTTTAAAAATACATATTCTCCATGGTGCTTTTTGGTCATTCTCTTATGTATTTTCTATAATACTTCATCTTATATTTATGTTTATCTATTATCTTCTATTCAACTGCATAAGCCCTTTGATCCTAGGATCAGTCTGATTACTCTTTGCTCTCTCACAGCACCTATTTTGTTTCCTGGTATGTGGTATACTGAATATATGTCTCAATAATTGGATATGAATCTTATGAAGGTCTAACCTATATTTTCAGAGTTTTGAGTGAAAAGACTAATTATATTAACTAATTTAATTTTCTTTTGCTAAACCTTGAAAGCTGGCTATCTTTCATCCATTTTAAAAGTATAAGATCAGTAATGGAGACTTACAGTTTTATTTAACTTGCCATGTGATTTATATTGACAGATGAATTGTTTGTGATTTTTAAGGGTATTAAATAATTTTAAGTAATTGCTCTTTCTCTTTTTTAGTGCATTTGCACAATATAACTTGGACCAGTTTACTCCAGTAAAAATTGAAGGTTATGAAGATCAGGTATGTTTCGTATAAACACAGGATCTGGCTGTTCTTTGTTTTGATTTTAATGGTTAATGTTACCCTATAAGAATTTGCAGTGGTATTAAAAAAAAGTGTTCTAAGATTTTAGAAAATAAATTGCTTTAAACCCACTTTTTTGTGTCTTTATAGGAAAAAAAAAAATCCTATAGTAATACAAAATCTAGGATATATAGTAGTAATATTTACACATAATTTGGTTGCTCTGGAATTCTACAGTTCGTCATGTGAGTAACTTAGCATTTAGTAATTGTTATATCTTTTTTTTCTGAAGTGCAAGTTAGAATTACTAAGCTAAGAAAAGCCACAAAAGGTAACTAGCATTATTAATTTTTTTTTTTTTGGTTTAGAGTTACTAATAATTGAACTATGATTGTATCAGTTAATATTGTGCTTGTGTGAAGAACAGTTTATATGAAACAACATTGCTGACTTACACAATAAAAGTGATTATGTTGGTTCATAAACCACAGAGCCCAAAAGAACTGGTAGGTAGAAGATAAAGAGAGAGTATAACAATTAGTTCTTAATGGCTAATAATATTAAAGCTTGTATTTGGCATTACTTAGTATGGAATATGTAGTCTTGTAGTTACAGAGGAAAAAGAGAGACTAGACATAACTAAAGGGAAAACATAGCTTAAATACAGAGCTATGCATATGTATATATACACATACATAGAAAGCTATACAGTGTTTCATTTTCTTAATCTCATAAATTTTTTCTCTCCAATGAGATTTTGGTTTTTGACTTTTTTTGTTTGTTTTTTAATGTTATAAAGAGAGCTTTATTGCACATCTTTGCACCTCTGGGCACATTGACTATTGTTTTCTTAAGATAAACCACTAAAAAAATTTGTCAAATCAAGGTAATGCATCTTTTTAAAATGTTGTATAGCTCCCAAACTCATTTTATAAACCTAGCATAATTTTAATATGTAAATCTTATAAAGATAAAACAAAGAAAAAGCAGACTCTGCAGTAATCTTACATAGGACTGTAGATTTAAGAACTTTAAATAGAAATTAACAAGTAGAATTCAGGAAATGAGGGGGAACCCCCCCGCCCCAAATCAAATTATCTTCTGGAGGGAAAGTCCGTTGTAGAACATTCATCCCCTGTGAGGGGAGTGTTCTACAAACCCATCTGTATCAAGTATCAACTGGTGGTGTTGTGAGAGGCTGTGTTTTGCTTCAGTGAATTTTTTTTTGAAGACTCTTTCAATAAATGTGTCTATTTCATGATGGGTGATTTATGAGTGCACCTGCCCACACCTCGCTGAGTGTTCAGCAGTTTTTGACCCAAAATGGCATGACCCACATGCTCCACCTTCCCTATTCACCTGATCTCGCCCAAGCAACTTTTTTTGTTGTTGTTTGCATGGATGAAAAAAGTCCTCAAAGGGAGACATTCTGCTGATATGAAAAAGGTGAAACAGCAGCAGAAGCACTAAAAGGCATCAAAATGGAGGAGTTCAAAACTGTTTTGAGCAGTGGGAAAGAAAGTCTTGATAGGTGTATTGCATCAGATGGCAAGTACTTTGAAGGTGACTGAAGTTTAAACACTTAAGGATACCTACACAATTTTTTATAAATAAATTGTTTTTTGGGGTCCTTCCTCATGTATTAAAAAAGTAATATGCCATCACTAAATAGAACTTATTTACTGGGGTGTAAGAGTGGTTCTATGTAAGGCAATATATTGGTCTTACTTTTTCCCCCAGTGGTTCTGATTTAGCGTGCTATCAGTTTGCAATCTTGGTCTGCGTCTTAAACCTCTTTACTACGTCATAAACTTTGTGACAGTTTGTATACTTGAACTGTTTGTCACACTCACTGGTTATGTTCTGTTCAGAATTTTCCAGCTTTTGGAAGGCACACATTTTCTAGAGTCTGTGTAGGTTTACAACTCCCAAAAGTACTTATAACCCTGCCTTGGAGGGCCTGTTTTTCCCCCAGAACTGATGTTTGCAGAGTGCATTATCACACATAAAAGTTTAGTTTTAAAGTTTTGTTCACTAGAGCTTGCTCTTACTTCAGACATAATAAAATCCTTCCCAAAACAAATTGCTGTCTTAGAGCCGCTGCACATATATAAGGAACAACTTGTGATTACAAGAGTTCATTTAACAATCACATTTATAATCTCAAAGCCAACAGTTTTTCTTTCTGAACCATGTTCACAAACTGATCAAAGCAATCAGAGGGACTCTTTATTGACCACCAAATCAAAGAGAGAAACGTTACGATACATCAATAGACAATGAAAAGGAATTTGAAAAATCCAGCAGCTAGTTCATTACAAGAACTCTAAGTAAAATATGGACATAAAAATATGTCTTAAATATAATAGATTGTAGTTTATGATAGTACTCTTGGTTTTTGTTAAACAAACACAAATAACAGTTAAAATAGAAAATTAGCCAGGTATATCTACTATTTCTAGTAAATGGAGATGTAGCAAATACAACAAGAGAATGAGAACTTTTAAAGCTTTAGAAGAGAAAAACTCATAGGTGACATGATTTATATATTTGAAAACACTGAGAGACTTTTGTAAATGTAACCACACATCCAAAACCTACTAGGTTTAAAATAATTCCCTGAGATGGCTGAATTTAAGGTAAGTATACAAAACTCATTAGCTTTCTTCTTTTATAGCAAGTATGTACTTGAAAGCAGAAATGGTTGGAGGGGCTCTAGTTCCACTTTAAATATTGGTGAAATTACACATTAACCTAGGAATAATCTTGACAAAAAACAATAGGATTATGAAGAAAATGGTTGTCTTCTTGAAACAAAAAATGGGATCTGAACAGTGGAAAGGCACATCACATTTCATTTTGAGGTAGAAAATTAAATTATTTAAAAATTAAAATAGGAATTTAATATAGTTTGATTATAGTCCTGATAGTTTTTTTAATTGGTCAGAATTTTTATAAGGTTTATGTGAAAAAATAAATGCTAAAAAAAAACCAGGAAGAAATGTAAAAAGAACAGAAAGAGTGGTGAGAGAATTGCCTTACTAGATAACACAAGATCCTTTACAACCAATGTACAAGGTCTGTGTGGAAAAAGTCCAGCCATTGTTAATATAATGAGAACAGTTTGTATGACATTGATGCAGCTAAGGAGAGTGGACTGGAATGCGCATGCATGAACAATGACAACTTCACTGTACTAGTCAGTGGGAGTGGTAGATGCCATTGAGTGAGCATGTGTATTGTGTGGCCATTGCTGTCAGAATGACTGAGTAGGTAAAGCAATGAGTCTGCATCAAATTTTGTGTTAAGCTTAAATGTGCCTCCGCAGAAACTATTTAGATGATTCAGAAATCTGCCGCAGCTATGGGCAACTGGTGACTGGTGGCTTCATCATGACAATGCACCCACTCATACATCATGTCTCTGCAGGGTTTTTTGGCAAAACATCAAATCACTCAGGTGACTCAGCCCCTCTACAGCCCAGAATTGGTGCCCTGCGACTTCTGGCTTTACCCACAACTAAAATAACCTTTGAAATTAAAGAGATTTCAAACCATCGATAAGATTCTAAAGAATACAATAGGGCAGCCAACGGTGATTGGGAGAACTCTGTGAGGTCCCAAGGTGGCTACTTTGGAGGGGACTGAGGTGTCATTGTCCTGTGTTTCTTGTATCTTGAATAAATGTCTCCATTTTTCATATTACATGGCTGGACACCTTCTGGACAGACCTCATATACTTAAATAAGGGTGGTATTACATAAAGTTGAAAGATCAGTAGAGCAGCATGTTTAGTCCCAAAATACATGAAAATTTTTATTCATTACAAGGTTATAATTTCAATAGACATATAATAAAAGATTTTTTAAAATTGATTTAGACAGCAAAACATCAATCTGTTGTTCCACTGATTAATGTATTCATTGATTTTTTTTAAATTAATAAATCATGTTTATTCTGTTACAGTTGTCTCAATTTTTCCTTCTTTAGCTCCCTCCACCCATCTTCCCCTACCCTCTGTTCCCACAGTCAATTCCCACACTGTTGTCCATGTCCATGGGTCATTCATACATGTTCTTTGTCCAGTCCCTTCCCCTTCTTTCCACCATTGCTCTCTTTCCCCATCCCCTCTGGTCACTTTCAGTCTGCTCCATGTTTCCATGCCCATGGTTTATTTTGTTCATTTTGGTTTTTTTTTAGAATAGATTCCACTTATAGGTGAGATCTTATGGTATTTGTCTTTCATCAACTAGCTTATTTCACTTAGCTTAATATTCTCCAGTTCCATCCATGTTGTCACAAAAGATAAGAGTTCCATCTCTCTCCTTCCCTCCCTCCTTTCTTTTTTCTTTTCTTCTCTTTCTTTCTTTTCTTTCTTTCTTTCTTTTCTTTCTTTCTTTCTTTCTTTCTTTCTTTCTTTCTTTCTTTCTTTTCTTTTCTTTCTTACTTAATACAGATTGATTTTATTTATTTTTTTCAATGTCGAAGTTAATTATAAAATATTTAAAAAATTAAAACCATTATAAATTCTCAGCAATTAAACAACATGACACCAGCTCAGAAATAATCAAGTAGATCCATGAAATACAATGAGCATTCTAGACACAAACATATATATCTAACAATGTAATATATGATTAAGTTGACATTTCAAATCAATGGGGAAAATTAGGCTTATTCAACAAATACGGTGCATGGAACACTGTTACCTGAAATAAAAAATATAGAGCCCTATTTCACACATTATACAAGAAATATTCAGGAGTTAAAAATCAATATGTAGAATCTAAGGAGTTTTAGGAGAAAATATAAACTAATATTTTTCTTACCCTGAAATAAAATATTCAAACCCAGAAGCTATAAAGTAAAATATTGACTGACTATATTAAACATTTAAGACTGTACAGTAATGTACATATAAAAAAGGTTAAAGGACAAGTAATAGAATAGGAAAGAATTTGCAACACGTCTAAAAAAGGATTAATGGATTCTTCTGGTGTTTTTGGAGGGGGAGAATTCTACAAACATTTAATAAAAAAATGGATTAAAAAAATACCAAAAAGTCATTTAAAGTTTTTTAAAGATAATAGAAATAGGTAAGAAATATACAAAACCAGATTTAGTTTCAACAAATCATGAAGAAACAATTAAAAATAACACATCATTGATAACATCAAGTATTGGCAACTGTGAAAGGAATGGGTATTCATAGACTCTTTTTCTTCATCTGAAAGCAGTTCCTTTAGCATATTTTGCAATGCTCGTTTGGTGGAGATGTATTCTTTTAGCCTTTTGTCTAGGAAACTCCTTATTTCACCTTCCATTTTAATTGAGAGCCTTGCTGGGTAGAGCAGTCTTGGTTCAGGCCTTTGCTTTTCATAACTTGGAATATTTCTTGCCACTCCTTTTTGGCTTGCAGTGTTTCCGTTGAGAAGTCAAATGCTAGCTGTATTGGGGCTACGTTAGATGTTATTACCTCTTTCTCTCTTGCTGCCTTTAGCATTCTCTGTTTGTCTTTGATATTTGCCATTTTAATGATGATGTGTCTTGGAGTGGGCCTCATTGGGTGCCTCTTGAATGGGACCCTGTGTGCTTCCTGGATTGTGTGCCTTTTTCTCTCCTCCAAGGAGGAAAGTTTTCCATCATTACTTTTTCAAACAGGTTCTCTATCGCTTCCTCATCCTCTTCTCCTGGTATCCCTATCATACGGATATTACCTTTCAGGTTGTCCTGCATTCCCCTCTTCGTTCTTTTTGAGTCTTTTTTCATTTTCTTGCTCTTTCTGGGAGCTTTTTTCTACCTTTTCCTCCAGCTCGCTGATTCAATCCTCTGCTTCATCCAGCCTGCTTTTGATACCTTCTACTGTGTGCTTCAAATCAGAAATTGTATTCTTCATTTCCTCTTGTCTCTTATTGATAGTTTCTACGTCTGTTTTCATGCTGATACAGTTTGCAGTAAGTTCCTCGTAGTTTCCCTGTAGTTTTTTTGTAATTCTCTCTGAGCTCACTGAGCTCATTGAGCTTCCTTAGAACTGTTGTTTAGAACTCAATATTTGATAGTTTACTTGCCTCTATTTTATTTAGTTCTCTTTGTGGGGATTCCTCCTTTCCCTTCGAGTGGGGGGTGTTTCTTTGTCTACCCATTATTTCTGGGACTCTTCTTTTTTGCTTCTGCTTCTTAAGTTGATCTGTCTTGATTTCCTGACTTTGCGGTGTGAACTTCTGTGGTAGGAGGCTGCTGTTCTTTACTTTCTGGATCTGCCTCTGATGATGTCAGATTTTGTCCCTGCCTGATCTTAGGCAGTCTTTTGCAGACTTCCAGGAATCTACTGTCTGTGGCTTTCTCCTTCAGCTGTTAATCTAGTCACTCTGCACTCAGCAGGGTGCCTTAGATAGCACGTGAGAGGATGGAATCCCACCTGGGGTTTGGGCTATTGGGTCCTCTGATGCTGCTGCCACTCGGGGGAGTTGTCTCTGCCTGAGCAAGATGGCTGCTGCCATATGGGGGATGAGTCAACACCGAGATCTCGCCAGCCACTCGCAGTTCTCTCCCCAAAGCCTCCTTCTCCAGTCTCTCCTCAGGTATCTGTAGCCCACTCTGCCCCTGTCTTTGCCAGAGGCCACGGTAAGTGGCTGCAAATAAAAATTTATGCTGTTTAAATGGTTCTTTGTGTCTCCAGCCGCCAGTCTCTGGCAGAGAGCAAGTCTGATGCTTTTCTCAGCTGGCTGTTTTCTTTGTAGTTTTTGGGCTCTGATGCTGTAGGCTAGAGATCTCCGCTTTTGGTTCAGACCCTGCTCTTCTCAGGGGGATCCAACTGGCCGTTTCAATATCCTTCTGGTGCTGCCTCCTGTGGGCGCCCCGCCTGCCTTCTTGAGTCCCCACCACACTCTTTACCAGTTAGATTGTGCTAAAGCTGATTCTTCTGTCTCCTACGTTACAAGGCTTCTCTCTCACTGTAGTTGTTTGTTCCAGATGATTTCTCCACAATTCACTTGCAAGTCCTGGTTGGTCCTGGGAGGAGGTCAGTGTGCCTTCCACTCACTCCTCTGCCATCTTGATTCTCTCCCATTGATTAATTCTTGCATGTGCAGTGGCTGGACATGAAACTGCCACTGTGGCGTATAAGGATGATACTCTAACCAACTGACCTGGCCAGGCCTAATAAAAGATACTGGCACAACTGATTTCTATCAAGAAATAGTTAATTTGAATCTGTCTCATACACTATAAAATAAATTTCTGGTGGATTAAAATTTGTAAAATGACCAAAATTCTAAAAAGAGCCCTGGCTGGTCTGGCTCTGTGTGTTGAGCGCAGGCCTATGAACCCAAAGGTCGCAGGGTTCAGTTTACCATCCAGGCATATGCCTGTGTTGTGAGCCAGGATCCCAGTGGGGCGTGAGAGAGGCAACCAGTTGATGTTTTTCTCACACATCAATGCAGCTCTTCTCTTTTACCCTCTCTTCTCCCCCCTCTTTAAAAAAAAAAACTTTTTAAATAAATAAAAATAAAAATGTACAAGATAGGGGAAGGGAGACCATCTTAAATAAGACAAACTGTAAAAGATGGTATTTTGCTAATAATAATAATTTTAACTGTAGAATTAAATACTTTAAAGCACTCCTTAAATTAACGAGGGAAAGAAACCAAAAATATTAAAGGATATTTGTAGGATTATTGACTGAAAAAAATTTAAAAGGATATGTTCTGTGTTTTTATGATTTACATCAAAGAGATGGGTAAGTTCTGTCACAGGTACACCAAAAATTAGGAGAGTTACAAGAGAAGGAAAAGGGTAATTTTCAAAATAAAGCACAAAATGGTGAAGTTATGCATGTGTAATATAAATGTATGTAAATGAATAAATAAATTTCAAAAAATATGGAAGTCAACCGAAAATAACTGTCAGTGATTAGCTTATAAAAACAGGATGGAGGCACTTCACAGTGGATGAGATCGTGGCCCCAGTAGCCATAGGACACACTGAAGAAGAGTTTTACTGGATTAAAACCATTCTTGTCAGTGTCTTCATTGAAGGTTTTTATCAGTTCCTTAGATTTGTGGAGCTGCGGACTAACAACAGAGGTAGTAAGCTGTTCAGTGTTCTCAAAGAAAAACTGACCTCAACAATGTATTAGAGATATTTTTTGTACTGGGAACTGGAAGTTAGTTGTGTGAAATCAGATTCATGAACCAAGCTGAATGAGGGTAGCCTCACTGTCTCTATAGTCTACTCATTTGAAGTATTATAGTTGTGTCATAAGGTAAACCAGTTGTTTGAAGTAGACTTATTTTATAGTTTTCAGTAGAAAGTTTAAGTGGATGTATTAATATTCATCTTTAATTTAAGTACTTTAATGCTATTGAATTCTTTTTTCCAAAAACAATTGAAGGTATTGATAACAGAACATGGCGACGTGGGAAATGGAAAGTTTTTGGATCCAAAAAACAGAATCTGTTTCAAATTTGATCACTTAAGAAAAGAGGCAACTGATCCAAGACCATATGAAGCAGAGAATGCAGTTGAATCATGGAGAACTTCGGTAGAAACCGCTCTACGAGCTTATGTAAAAGAACATTATCCAAATGGGGTCTGCACTGTAAGTCATCAGTGTGTACCTTTTTCTTTTGTCTTATATAAATATGACAGTGTTTATATGATCTCCTGAAATTTACAGTAACTTGCAAAACTGACATAACTTGCCATTCTTTTTTTCTTGAAGTATTTTTGAGAATGTTTACTATTTTTCTCAAGATATTCTAAATAGTAGATATATTATGATAGCCCCAAATGGAAAAATTTGGTACCTTGAATTAAATTCAAGTAGGAATTCTCATACAAGGGACATGATTATTATGTGATTCTTTAATCTCATGTTTAGGCCTCTTTTCAATAAACTTAGATCAAACTTTTTATTAAATTACAAGATCTTAGAACAAATAAAAATATTGGAAATCATGTCCTCATGTGTTTTAGAATAAAATTTCTTAATGTTCTTTCATAGGTTTAAGCTATTTTTATGTTTTCCGGATGAAGTATGTTAGAAACTAGGAGGGCTTTCTTTTTCCTTTCATAAGATGGTTTGTACTCAGGTTTTTTAGTCCCCCACAGTTTGTTTGTGCTTCTATGATCTCCATAGCCAGAGTAATCTTGAAATGCCAATCAGATCACGAAATCCTGTGCTTAAAATCCTTCACCGATATCCCATTGCACTTAGGATAGAGTCTACGCTTCTGAACATGGCTTTCAAGGCCCTATGGAACTGGCCTCTGCCTACCTCTCCAACCTAAGGTGACCGTGTATCCTGGTTTATACCTGCTATCCCAACATAATTATTAATACTACCCTATTTCATCCAGCAGTTTCCTGGTTAAGACAAGAATTCATATGGTACTCTTAAGTATCTAGTTTTCAATAATTATTTGAGAAATATAGCGGCATAACCTCAGATACCTTATAAGTTCTTTGAATTATAACCTTGTTGATTATGATTATTTTGAGAGAATAACTAAAAAAATAAGGTGGTTAGGTTAAGTTAGTGTCCTTATTTGTTCCTGGGGGGTTGAAAGCCACAATTTAGTCACTACTTTTAAAGCAGTAGGCGGGAGATAAAATAACATCTTCATAGCATCATAGGCATTTTCTTAATAACCTTTCTTGGTTATAAGTAAATTAACTTTATTTGAATGCTTTTTTAAATGACTAGAGAAATTACAGTTCCTAAGATTGTGAAATAAACAAAGATAATCACAATCTAGGTCCAGTTTATATTTGCATAGAAACAGCCAGAGGGTATCTATATATTTACACCTCTCATGATAGTTGTGTTTGGAGTGAAAAGTATGGTATATCTAGAATGTTTATGACTACTTTGGAGTACAGTCAGTTTTACTAAGTAAATTTCATTTTATTCATTCTGAGTTCTTTATAATCAACTAAGAATCTGATTTATTCTACGTGTTTGGGTATTATATGTTCCTGCCAAAGTGCTTACAATTTTCATTATTTTGTGGATGTTCAAAGTTAGACTTTCTGTGGCCCTAAATTCACTCTTATGTCTGTTTTCTTTGCCATCAAGGTATATGGTAAAAAAATAGATGGACAGCAAACCATTATTGCATGCATAGAAAGCCATCAGTTCCAAGCAAAAAATTTTTGGTAAGTTAAAACTTTTGTGTATTGGGGACTTTTGACATGGTTATTTTTGTAAAAGATTCTTGCTCTATATCTTGCTTGTTTGTGATTAAGAGCAGTCTAAACATAATATAAAATTTCAGCCTTTTTATGATCCAGAGATTTCACTTCTGGGTATATATTTCAAGAAATCAAAACACTGATTTGGAAAAAAAAAAAACGCACCTCTGTTCATTATAAGAGTTATTTACAATAGCCAAGATACAGAAGATCCCCCAAGTGCCCATCAGTAGATGAGTGGACAAAAAAGCTGTGGTACATGTATGTAATGGAATATTACTTGGCCATAAAAAAGAATGAAATCTTACCATTTGTAACAGCAAGGATAGACCAAGAGGGTATTATTATGCTCAGCGCAATTAGTCAGGGAAAGACAAATACAAGGGGGTCCCGTAAAAAAAAAAACAACAACAAAATTATCTTCTGGAGGCTAAGTCTCTTGTACAGGAGCCCATCTGTATCTGTGTACTAGCTGGTGTTTTAAGAAGCTGAATTTGGCTTCAGTGAATTTTTTTTTTTAAGATTCTTTCAATAAGTTTGCCCATTTCATGATGGATGATTTACGAGTGCATCTGCCCACACTGCGCTGTGTGTTCAGCAGTTTTTGACCAAAACCACATGACTCCCCCCTGTGCCCCACTGTCCCTATTCACGCGATCTTGCTCTGAGCTACTTTTTGTTTGTTTGTTTGCCTGGATGGAAAAAGTCCTCAAAGGGAACCATTTTGTTGATGTGGAAGAGATGAAACAAAAAACAGCAGAAACACTAAAAGGCATCAAAATCAGTGAGTTCAAACACTGTTTTGAGCTGGGGAAGAAAATGTCTTAATAGGCATATTGCATCAAACAGAGAGTACTTTGAAGGTGACTGAAGTTTAAACATAAGAATAAATACATGATATTTTATAAATAAATTCTGGGGTTTGTTTGGGTCCCCCTTCATACCATATGATTTCACTTATGTGTAAAATCTAAAGAAAAAAATGAACATACAAAATGGAAACAGACTCATAGGCACAGAAAGCTAGAAGGGAGGGGTGTTGGGGGATTGGGTGAAAAGAAGTGAAGGGATTAAAAAGTACAAATTTGTAATTACAAAGTAGTTGTGGGGATGTAAGTAAAGCAGAGGGAATATAGTCAAAAATATTGCAGTAACTACATACAGTGCCACTTGGGGTACTGGAAAATATCAAGAGAAACACTATATAAAAATACATGATTTGTCTAACCACTAAGCTGTAAACTTGAAATCAGTATGAAATAAAATGGGGTGGGGGAACTTCAGCCTTTTGATTCAAGAACAGTATCTGCGCTATAATCAGTCTAATTATTAAAGGTAGCAGTAAATCCATTGATACTGAATGAAGAGAGAATGGGAAGAGTGTTGGGTGTTTTTAGAGACTAGTAAGCAGCATCCTAAGGGAATGTGTGTGCCTGCAAACAGATCAGTTGGAGGCCCATATGCCTATTTTGAGAAGAGATTGTTTCTGAATGAGACTTAAATGAGGGAAGAGAACAGAGGTAATTTTAGAGTGAAGATTTATGATTTCTTTTGTGAATTTTAGGGTCTTTGAAGTAGATTTTTCATGTGGATTGCCTTGTACCTGGTTGGCCAGTGTGAGGGAGTAGTGGAGTATTTTATTATACAGTGAGGCAAATTACAGTCATGCCTTACAAGGTTGTGTACAAATCGTTTGATTATTCCTTACAAAAGTAGTTCCCCAAAGCACTGACTTGCCATATTAATCTTTGATCTTTGACAAGTTGTTAGGCCTTTTTATTTTTAGACAAGACTGTTTCTGAGGTATCTTCTCTTACAAAATTCTGAGGCTCTCCAAGACTTTATTAAGTTCAGAATTAAATCCTTACCTTTACACCCCCTTTTTAGTTAATACATGCTATTGTTAATTATTTACCTTTTAAGTATATTAGTCTTTGACTTGTTAACCAGGTTGGTGGTAGTGCTCCTGAGGTATAAGTAACCCCTATGGACCAATTTGGTCTGTGGCCCAAGCTCGCTGCACTACTTAACCATCTAGAAATAAATGCAAGTTTACAAGGTTAAACAGGAACATTTGGAAGAATGCAGATACATTATCACTGAGAGAAAATCAGTTCCATGTGTAAACATAGGCCTTAATGACAAGCTACAATCACTCAAAGATTCTGGTGTAGAAAGTTACTTTTACGGACTTAATGTAAAGGAATTTTCTCCATTTTAGGCTTAAAAACTTGTTCCATTAATCTACTAGTACCCTAAAGAAAAAATCACACAAAATCACTGTTAATTTATGCTCTTTGTGCCAGGATATGTATAGTAAAATCAATCTTGTTGAATTTATATAAGGAAAAAATTCTTGTTACTAAGTTTTACCTTAAAGTATATTGGAGATATTTTAGTAAATTTACTACCAGAATTTATCATATATAATATGTTCTTGTGTATAGTGAGCATCCAAGTTTTTGGCCCAAACTTTCAGGGAAAAAAATCTTTCATTTTAATTTTTTAATTCAATTTTTTATCTATTTGTATTTAGAACTGATTATCATATTTCAGGGTATTATTTTGCATATGGATATCGCTATTGCTTTCTAGAGTTACGCTTTTAATGCATAAGCATAAATAAAGAATTAAAAACTTTTATATATACAGAATTAGTACTACCCATTTATAATGTGCATCCTTATTTTAAAATTTGGGTAAAAAGTGTACATTACACATGACAAAATACTGCAATTAGTTTTCAAAAATATAATTAATTTGAGCTTTAACGTATTTAAAGTGAAGATAATGTCTGTTCTTGAGTTTTCTGTTCTCACTATTTCACTTTATGTATCTGAATATTTTTTTCCCTAGAGTACCACTATGAATATTATATCATTGAAGTTAAAAATGATTTCCACTTTTTGGAAAAGAGAAAATTTATGATATTCCAAAGCTCTAAGCATGCATATTACAATGATCTCAGTAAAATAGTAAAGTCTAAGTATTTTGGTATATAGAAATACTCTTTAATTCATCAAAAGTAGAGAAAAACAAAAATCAGAAAATACTAGTCATGGATGTTCTGTAGATTTCACTAGGGACAGCCTCTTCTTGGTCTCTACTGTTTCCCTAATGTCTAGCAGTATGGGGGACTTAATAAATGTTTTTTAAATGAAGACATTAGTAATAACAGCATTAATAGACGGGAAGGGAAGAATGAAATTAAAGGCTAGGACATCGTGACTATTTACATCATTGATGAAAGGGTACTATCTACTCAGCATAATTTACTATTATGGTATAATAATGTCTTTGGAGTGTCCTTTGAAATAGTTTCTAAGCCTTGGCCACTGTGGCTCAGTTGGTTGGAGCACTATCCCATAAACAAAAAGGTTGCAGGTTCTGTTCCAGTGAGGGCACATGCTTAGGTTGTGGGTTCAGTCCCTGGTTGGGGGCTTGTGCAAGAGGCAACCCATTGATGTTTCTCTCCCTCTCTTCCTTCTTACCCGTCTCTCTAAAATCAATAAGCATGTCCTCAGACGAGAATAACAAACGAATAAATAAAATTTTAAAAAATGAAATAGTTCTCAAATTGATCTCATTACTTGATTTGGAATTTCTTTTCACAATCAGTGATATACACACATTGTCTTGATACTAATACCTAAATAAAAGGAATAACTTCTTTTGGAATCATGAAATAAAATGAATAGACCTAGGCTCCAACTGAGCTTCTGTGGATAACTTTGGATAAGTCACTAAAAGTCAAGATATGTTACACAATTCTCTTTTATTTTGTACAACATGTACATTGTTTTAATAACAGGACTTTTCAAATGTTAAGTGTTAACTTTGGGTATGAGGGTATCATCATTCTGTAGATTTTCATGATTGATTAGAGTGGAAGAATATCAAAGAGAACCCATAAATAATTTTATACCAAAGCAAGTATAGAGATCTTTTAACCCTGTGATTATTTTAGGAATGTATACTGTCGCAGGGAGCGCCATGGTGGAGCGTGGGGCTCCTGAATCTGAGAGTCACTGTCTGGAGGCAGCTGAGGAGGGAACAGACTCTGGATCCCACAGAGCCTGTCCCGTGGTTGTCACAGATGGGGGGAATAAACATATTGTCAGAAACACTTCTCTGTTTGCCAGGAGAGGGGACATGGCTCTTCCCACTGGGGGAGAAAAGGCCCTGAACCCCCTTGTCCAACGGCTCTTGTTGAGAACCATATGCACAGGGGTATACATTCAATGTGAAAAGGCTATGTTTACAGAAAACAAATAGAGATCATGGATAACAGTTGAAGGAACACAAGAGATCTGCCTCAGGTTAGGGTCTATTAATAAGGTAAATCTTACCAGTATGAGCCAGTTATCATAACTTTAGAGGAAAGAACAAAGCATGCTTAGAGGAACTTACTTGTAGGCCTGATTATTCCCAGGAACTGCTGGATTCAGTTTAGAGCTGTACCTGCCTTTAGTATTGTTTCAAGCCTGAGCCAGGCGGGCAGGGCAGAGCCAAGAGATAAGGAGACTGCTTTCAGATAGAATGAGGGCTCTGGCCTTGTCCTAGCTGAGCCGAGCAGTGCAGGCCTTTGTGCCCTTTCTCTGTGTCCCCCAGGTCCTTGTCTGCTGCTCATACTGGCCGATATCTGTCTTAGGTTGTTTCTCCTTGTGAGAAAACTTAGCTGTCATGGCTCACTGACCATCACAGAGCCAAGCAGGACAGTGTGAGGGAGGCAGGTGTTCTCAGTGGCCTGTTCTTCCAAGATCTCCTTGATTATTTCCAGCTTTGGGGCCCTCTCACCTCTTGGCGAGGCTGCATTCTCTGAAACCAGACAGGGTGTTTCCCAACGGTATACTGTTCAAAAAAAAGTTAATAGATTTGCATATCAGAATATCTTTTAGCATGCAGAAAGCAAGTAAAGGTCCAAAGTAAAGGCGTTGCTATGAAAAGGCTATTAAGGAAAAAAAAAAGGGATAAAATTCATTACCTGGTAGACAAAATGAACAACATACCTGTTACTTGTTTGTAACATCACAGTTTCCTACCGTGATATGCATATCTTTTAATGTGTATATCACAAATCATTTCAAGGAGGAGGAGGATGTGCCTTTTATGTGAAAACTTTAAACCTAAAATTGGAAAAGTGGGGGAAAACCTGATGCCCATAATTCTTTATAGCTCTTCTCATTCCAAATGTCAAAACATCCTTAACAATGTTGTAGTACTATCCATTCTCTTTATTTGGTACTTTGCATCAGTCAGTGGATGTTAAACTGCATTGATTGTATTTGCAAAAGCCCCGATAATCTGAACATTATTCATTTTATTCTTAATTGAAACATAAGTGAGTCAGTTGAAGAAGTAGCTTAAAATTTTTCTCCAAAAGTATCATGTTTTAGTTTAATGAATGTCCACCATCCATCCCCGACATTTCTCTTATACTGTAACATTAAATTTAAATCTGGAATTTAAAAGTTATTCAAGTTATTTTTCCTACCGACTTACAGCTGCTATTTTTATTTTTAAGGAATGGTCGTTGGAGGTCAGAGTGGAAGTTTACGATCACTCCTTCAACTGCTCAAGTGGTTGGCATCTTGAAAATTCAGGTATGGAATAGAAAGAATTTGTTTACTGATCTCTAAATGATTCTGAATAGAAAAACAACTAATTCATAAGTTTATATTTTCATGATATATAATAATCACTTCTTTTTCACATCTTCATGTTGAGGTAATGGGAAAAACAAGTAGTGCTGATTTCATTTTTTAATAACCTTGTAGTTCATTCTCTGTATTCATCAGAAATCTGGAAGGAAAGCTGACAGATTCTAAAAACACAACTAAAATTAGGTGCTGTTATTTGGTCTTCTCTTTTTTAAAAAAAATTTTTTTTAATCATGTTTATTCTGTTAACAGTTACCTCAATTTTTTCCCCCTCTGCCCCGCTCCACCAATCCCACCCCCAACCCCCACCCCCACCCCCCACTTCCACAGTCAATTCCCACTCTGTTGTCCATGTCCATGGGTCATTCACACATGTTCTTTGTCTAGTCCCTTCCCCTTTCCACCATTATCCTCTTTTTCCCATCCCCTCTGCTCTTTATATAATTTGTTCATATAAGCATCCTCTGTTCTGTTAATCTCAGTTGGGTAGAGTAGGGTGAAGTGTGATATTAATATATGCATGTTTAGATCAATAAATGTATGCATTATATGTGTATATTAATATATGTACGCAGTATATATGTAAGTATCTTCTATACTTATATTTGGCTTCTTATATGAAACCCATTGGAATTGAATTTTTTGACTTTTAATGTAAGCTCAAATGTTTATATAGAAGAATATTTGATAGCTAAGACTAAGTATTTCAATATAGATACTACTAAATTAGTTAAAGGAAAATACTGACTAATCTTTTTATATCTTGGTTCATGCATTTATTCAATATATTTGTTGATCAGCTATCATGAAAAGTACTGTGGCAAGAGCCATAAAGGAATAAAGATGCTGCTGCTTTATCATCCAGCTCCAATATACATTTCTAATTTCTAGTTTCTTGTCTTACATCCTAATGCTTTTATTTCTTGATGACTATCCCTTAGGGGATAGAGAAATGAGACGAAGATCATGGATTTTGAAATCAGACTGCTAGTTATTAGTTGTATGGCATCAAAAAGGCATTTAAGCTCTTTTTGTTTCTTCATTAGCTTAAAAAAAGCTCATATGACTATTTAAAGGTTAGTTTATGTAGATAAAATGGTTACAGTAGAGGTAGAAATAAAGTGCTTAATGAATGGTAGCCATTTTTGTTGACATTCTTCCCTTCAGTGAGGCCTCAGCAGCTCTCTCACCTGAGTAATTTGTAAAATGCTGCCTCTGTTGGACAAAAGCTTGTTGAGAACCAGGATTATCTGGTTCATAGTTCTATCTTCAGCACTTAGCATCATGCCTGGCATATAATTGTTACTTTATTTTGTTGAATTGCTAGACCTTTTGCCATTCTCTAATCCATTTTTTTTCCCATGCAGCCTCAAGAAAGATGATTTTTTTTTTTTTAAGTTAAATGTAGATATGTTACTTGCCTGTTTGCTACCATTTTAGCAGTACACTCTCACCTACTAGATGGTCCAGACATATTTAGGTGGCATTAAGGCCCAAAGTTGACTTGTTCCCTACCTGTCATATTTCCCCAGCCATTCTTCTCCATCTCCGACCTCACACGCATTCCCTCCACTAGTATCTCCAAGCCTTCCGAAAGTATGCTGTTCTCTAAGTTCCGTTTCCTTATCTTCCCTGATTAGTCAGTCATTTTGCTAAACGGAGTGCAGTGTTGCCTCTTCTCTGAAGTCCTTTTTTAGTGCTTAGAGAGTCTGGAGTATTACTATGTACTGTTTATGTACCTCTTACGTTGCATTGAAATATGAGTTCAGGAACTATCTTTTTAAAAGCTATGTGTCCCTAGAACTTTTTAATAGGAGCCATATGTAGTAATCACTCAATTAATATTTAGTGAATAAATTCATGTCTTTGAATTTGAGGAATTACATGGTTGGTATAAGTACACAAAAGAGGAATAATGGGGGGAGTATTGTGAGCTTGATTTTAGAAACCTTGAGTTTAGGCACTAGCAGAATATCAGAGATAATAACGTCCAGCAGTTAGGTCAACGGAGGGCTTGCCTGAGTAATTGCCAGAACGGCTAACTAGTCTTCTCACTAGACTAGGCAGGAAGTCTTGCTGGGGTTTGAAAGGTCAGGAACTCATCAAAGGAGTCTAGGTTAGAGCTGAAATTGATAATCATCAATTGATGTGATTGTTGAAGCCATGTGCATCTTGATGGTTCTTGCCTATATATGGTTTCTGTAATTTCTTTTTTAATAGGTTCATTATTACGAAGACGGTAATGTTCAGCTAGTGAGTCATAAAGATATACAAGATTCCCTAACAGTGTCTGTAAGTAATCAATTCTAAAATAAAATTTAACCCAATACTTCTGTAAAACCACAGAACAGTTTTGGAAGTAAAATTTTAAATAATATTTCTGCTTTAGATTAAGTTATTTTCAAATAGATTAAAGATGGGTAAGTAAATTGATACCCAACTTTTTTAACAGCTTCTTTGAGATACAATTTACATACCATTCAATTCACCAGTTGAAGAGTAAAATTCAGTTTTTTTAGTATATTAAGAGGATTGTACGACAGTCAACACAGTCATTTTTGTCCTCTAAAAATCCAGTACCCATTATCAGTTGCTCCGCAATTCCCGCTCCCCATCCCCTACAACCAGCCCTTTACCCAAACGACTCTCGGGCCTGGGCAACCACGAATCAATTTTCTGACTATGGAATTGCCTATTCTTGGCCTTTCATATGGAATACTACAATACGTGGTCTTTCGTGACTGGTTTTTTTTTTTTCATTTAGCATCTTTTCAGGGTGTGTTCATGTTAGAGCATGTACCAATGTCCCACTCTTTTTTTTTGCCAAATAATATTCCATTCACCTCATTTTATTTATCCATTTATTATTTGTTGAACATTTGTATTGTTTTCTACTTTTTCTGCTCTGAACCTTCATGTACTATTTTTTGTGCAGACATTTGTTGTAATTCCTCTTTAGTATATATGTGGCAGTGGAATTGCGGGGTCATATGATAATTCTATGTTTAACATTTTGAAAAACTGCCAGTGTTTCCAAAGTGGCTGCACCATTTTACATTGCCATCAGTTCTAATTGAGGGTTCCAGTTTTTCCACATCCTCACCAAAATTTATGTCTTTTTGGTTATAGCTATCCTACTCAGTATCTCATTGTGGTTTTTGTTTACATATTCCTGACAGATAATGATAATGAGCATCTTTTTATGTATATTTATGGGTCACTTACGCATTGAAAATTTCTGTTCAGATTCTTTGCCTATTTCTTGATTGGTAATTTGGTTTTTATTGTTGAGTTGTAGTTTTTGCTTACATATTTTGGATACAAATCCTGTATCAGAAAAATGATTTGCAAATATTATCTCCCATTCTGTAAATCTTTTCACTTTCTTGCTAGTATTATTTGCAGAACAAAGGATTTCAGTTTTGATGTAGTCCATTTGGGTTTTTTTGTTACTTTTGCTTTTGGTATATTAATAGATGCTTTTATTAAGGCTTAATATACAACAGTCATGATGATTTACCTTGAGTGTTTTCTAAAGATTTTATAGGTTTAGCTCTTAAATTTACATCTCTGATCCTGTATTTAACCTTTATGTTTGTATTGTTTGCTTTCCCCAGTCTATCTATTGAAATTATGATTTAATGAAGTTTTTCTGACGTTCAGCTTTCAAATTCAAGAAACTCTGAATTTAGTTATAATTCCCTGCAGAGTTTGTCATACGTTTCTTTCCATTGCCCATGTAGCTATTTCATGGTAGACTTGTTTTGCCCCAAGGACGCTAATATAACATTAACATGGTGTTTTCCCATAAACATTTGTGTTGTATACCTAAAAGTACCACTCAGCATAATTTAAACATCAACAGCTGATACACAAAATTAGCTATCTTACAAATACTAAGGAAAAATTTATTTTTAATTTAAGAAAGCATTTAACATTAAGAAACATGTCTGCGTGTGTTAAGCCAAATGCTACCTGAGAAAAGAAGAAAACTGTATTTTTTAAGTTTTCATTAGTACTTAAGTGATTACAGCCTTTTTTTTGTTTGTTGTTTGTTGTTTTTTTTTTTTTGGCTAAGTGGTACTCTTTTTACAAAATTTGCCAGTGAAAGAAACTTAACAAATCTTGTTTTTCAATGAGACATTGAAACTGTAGTTCTATATAATGAGTATACATGCAATATTATGTGATTAACAGGATACTTATTTATTATCTTTGGGGAGCTTGACATTGGGTAAAAATTCTTCCTAAGAGACATTTGTCTATATTTATAGACTAGAGAGTTGTGAGAGGTAGTTATTATAGTAAACTAATATGTCAATTTGTGCTGAGCTTTTAAGAACATGTTTTTCACTTTATCATATAGTGGTTATCATTGTTGTTTTATTGTTTTTGGGCAGAGAAAAATGTGCCCATTATAGATATGTATAAATATATCGAGTTCGCCAAAAAAGTCCATTAGTTTTTTCCATAAAATAAAAGACACATTTTTCATTTTTCACCAATCACTTTATTGATTTGGATATTTTGAGTATCTTGGCTATCTTCTGTGTGGCATAATGTTGATTGTTCACAGTTAATATCTCTGTTTGATCACTGTCAGCTTCAGCTGGTCTACCCAACTGTGAAGCATCATCATCCAGTCAGAAATCTCCAGCATGAAACTTTGCAAACCACTTTGACACATTCGATCATTCACAGCCCCTTCTCCATACACTGCGCAAATCTTTTTTTGCATTTCAGTCATGATTTTACCTGTCTTGAAATAATAAAGAATAATATGCTGGAAATGTTGCATATTTTCTTCCATCTTCAGTGTTGAAATAGCAACTGAAAAATCACCAATTTTGATATTTTTTTAAAAATTTACACTGATATAACAGCTGTAATAATACAGTCTAACAAAATCGTTTTTGAATGAAGCTAAAGACAACTAAGTGTTACTAGAGCCATCTTATGGAAAAAACTAAATGAATTTTTTTGGTCAACCCAATATATAGTTGACTCTTAAACAATGTGAAGATTAGGTATGTAGAACTAATTCACAGTTGAAAATCTGCATATAACTTTTTACTCCCCCAAAACTTAACTACTAATACCTACTAATCACCAGAAGCCTTACTGATAACATAATTAAAACGTATTTTGTATGTTTTATTTATTAAATACTGTATTTTACAGTAAACTGGAGGAAATGTTAAAATCATAAAGAAAATTCTTTCACAGTATTGTACTTATTGGAAAAAATTTAAATGTAAGTGGATCTATGCAGTTCAAACCCATGTTGTTCAAGGGTCAACTATAAACAATATATATAAAATAAGATATTTGAGAATTTTTACATTAATACTGTTTTATACTACAGAAGTCTAAAGTTCCATTAAATTTGCTATTAGCAAAAGAAAAAAGATTTTTTAAGATTTTCAGAAAATAGTTAAACACTACAGTAAATTCACCTTAAACTTTAAAATATGCTCTTCCTAATTGGTAATATTTTTATAATGTATTATGGTGGTAAATATTAAGTAAACTTAACAATATTTAGATAGTCCTTAATTAGCAGTTTGTGACTAAATTTTTACCTATAAAGATTGTGTCTTAGAATATATGTTGAGTGTTATAATTGCATTTTTCAGCAGTGTGTATTATAAAAGTTTTTCTTTCATTAACCAGAGAAACACTGAGACCAGCCTCATTCTGTAGATTTAAAATACTTTTGCCTAGATCCTCTTGGACTTAGAATAATTCTTACAGTATTTTCTCTTTATTATAATTTCCATCTGTTATATATTATACAAATTATTAACCATATATTGGCATGCCTATTTAAAAATATTAATAGTATAGTTTTAAATTAATATTTGATTGACTTGATTTTGTTTTTTATTCAGAATGAGGTGCAAACAGCAAAAGAATTTATAAAGATTGTAGAAGCTGCAGAAAATGAGTATCAGGTATGATTTTTAAAATCCTTTTATCTATATTTGCTTATAAATAATAGCACTTAAACTTTAATTTTAGTCATAAATCTGAAATTTTTTTTCCATCATTTCACTGTAATGAGATGTAGTCTTGTGCATGTGTGTGTGTGTGTGTGGTGTTTTTTTAGTTCAAGGGCAAACTTGTGAAAGTATAGACAAAATTCAGAGTACTGGTCAAAATATGACAAGGTTTTAAATGGTTATTTTGTTTCTGATCAGAAATTTTAATATAGGAGGTGTTTCCCAAAGAATTTGGATTATAGTCTGTTTAGATCATATTTTGTACTCCGCTTTTTACATTATATATCAGCTTCTAAAGTAGACTTTTGAACATAAACGTTTAATTTGTGGATTGGACAAGTTTTCACTCCTCCTTACAGACAGTAATTTATGATATTCTGAGTGAAAAATAGTAGATCTAAAATGAGGGTACACAAATGTTAAATAACTTATTACAACTTCATTTTAGTGTATTTAGTTATTCAAAGTGATTATAAGCTTTTTCTTTTAGCTGCTTTTAAACAACTTTTAAAACCATATTTGGGTTTTTATTTGACTTTTAAAAGCAATGAAACAGGCTGCTTCAATGTATATTTTTCCTAAATCATCTATATATTTTAGAGATTGTTGTTTTTTTTTTATTTCTTTAAACTTTTAACTACTTGTTTCTCATAGACTGCCATCAGTGAAAATTATCAGACAATGTCGGACACTACTTTCAAAGCCTTACGTCGACAGTTGCCAGTGACACGCACTAAGATTGATTGGAACAAGATTCTTAGCTACAAGATTGGCAAAGAGATGCAGAACGCATAAGATGAACATTGCATGATCGGATCATTTTAGTGTCTTTGCATTAAAAAAAAAAAAAATCATTGCAAAAGTATTCAGAACTGTCAAGCTACCCAGTCAGATGGGCTGTTGCCATTTAAAAATCACTGTAATTAGTTTGGTTAGAGCACAAAGCTTAGCTAATCAACCATTATTTTTCATTTCTTTTGTTCAAAGAGGATTGAAAATCATTTTAGTTTAAATGTCTCTCATCTTCTGTTAGGCCTCTCTTACAATGAAGAGATGATTCCTCTAGTTTACTGTTAAAAGTTTTTGAAGTGTTTCAGAAATATTTTACTTACCATAACCCTGAAATTGTTGTCTTTTGGTTTATGAAGTGTAACTTTTGATATTTGTCAAATTCTTTTTAATGGGGTCAATAATGGACATTCTAGTTTAAGGTGGTTGATGGATTTAGCCATATATGCTGCTAAAGAAATTGTCTACCTTTTCCGAACCCTTGAGGGAAAGCATTTTCTATATGAATTGTGTTTAAAGCTTCCAAGAAGGTTATTTAGCTAGCTTAGTGTTTAACTAAACTTTTTTAAACAAGGCCAAGGTCTAATGTAGTTTTGAGATTCTGGAATTAAATGAAAAAACATTTCAGAAATGCTTTTAATGCTTTTTTCTTGTGATAGTTATGCAAATTAGCTTGAATTCCATATGCCCCTGAGTTATTTTTATCATAAAGCCACAACTGTATTATAACAAGGCAAATTGTAATATATATTAATCCTGAACTCATGACTATGTCTCAGTTGATTTTTTTTTTCTTGGATTGAAAAGTACTGAAATTCAGTGTGACATTAAAATGAAAATTTTCATATTTATTTGAGTAGAAAAATTACTTACCAGTGAGTCATATGTTATTTTAAAATACTTTCTTTAAATATGGTGATTCTTAACTGGTTATGAATTAGAAAAGCTGGGAGTAAGTGTGCAGTTTCAGTCTCAATTTTTTCCATCTTCCCAGGCATCATATGCATGTTTGTAATATTTTTAGAAAATAACATTTACTGATGCTACAGGAATTTCAAGCCTGTTTTGAATGTTAGTATTTCCTATAGGGAGTGGGGCGGGTTATAGTTTCATCAAATGAGTATCGCATATTATACTCCAGTGGAATTCTTTCCTCACATACTCCTGCAGATGTCTGGGCCTGGAAATGTTATTTTTAAAAGCACCACTTTTATTATGTACAATAAAATATTTCATTAGCTTGAATTGTATAGGTTTTTAAAATTTTTCTCAATGAAAGCATGTTATTTAATTCCTTTTTAAAAATCACTGTTGGGCTTTGAACGCATTGAAAATATATGAAATTATGGAAATTTTGATTAAATTATTTTCTCTAGTTTTAAAATACAAATTTTGCCATGTTGGGATTCCTAAAGAAAATGAATTGGCAAATTTAAGACATTTTCAATAGTCTGATGATGACTGTGAACTAATTATCAGACGAATCTTTAATTAGCTTAGTTGTATCAGTTGGATATTGGTGAGTTTGTATTCCCTAAAGGCCAGTTGCTTTGTGTCTGTTTTATGATCCAGAATGCTTTCTTGAAAATACATCCTGCTATTTTTAAGGTGATGTGCATGTGAAAGGTAATATTTGTCAAATAATTCAGAGCATACTTTGAAAAAATTCTGCAATAGAATAATAGTCTTTTATGGTCTAAGATTAGCATTTTATTAAGTACAAGAGTGGAAACCCAGCATGACTAAAAGCTCAGGGAAGTAGTTTTATTAGGACACATAATGTATGTGTTGAATAGGCCGAACTGTGGAGGCAAGGGCAGAATATCAGGGAGAACAACTGGGAGGCTATTTCAATAATCCAGTTGAGAAAATACTGGCTTGGCCTGAGGTTTCATACCTGTAGGCTGTAGAGATGGCAACTTTTGGATATGTGTTAAAGGTAAAATCAAGATTGGCCAAAAGACTGGTTATAGAATGTGAGAGAAAGACAATGCCAAGGATCTGAGGGTTGAAAAATGAGGGAAGATTGGGATAGAAGGGACTGGACAGGAGTTTGGTTTAAGATTTCAAGGGGAAATACCATGTAGCAGTTACATACTGGAGGCTTTGTGTAGAGGAGTGCTCTGAGTGAGAATGGGAAACATAGTTTGAAAGCCAGACAAAATGAAAGACTCCTCAAGGCCAGTGGTAATGAATTTGAAGTGAGATCAGTAAGTATAGCTATTTTTCTTCAGCCATATAAAGTTGTTTGGGTGCAGGCATAGAGCAGATAAATTGAATTTAACCAAGGTGGTAGTTTTGCCAAGAAACTATAATTGACCACATGGGACCAAGGGGGCAAGGTTATAATGATCATCTGTAGAATCTAAGCCCTGTAAGCAGAGAAGTGAGGGCTTGACGGGAGGGGAAAAACGGTGAAAATTGTGGCACAATCCATGGATTGTCAGCATAAGAAACGTCCAAACCTGTAAATTTTTGTAAGATTTTATTTGAACCAAACTGATGACAGTTGCCAGGAACAAGATCTAAAACCCTCCAGAGAATGGTGGTTTGCAGGTACTTTTATGCATTTGAGATTAAGGAGGGAACTTTTAAGGAAAATTATTCAAAGGCAGGAGAAAGCAGGGCAGGGCTGGATTACCGGCTAGTTAAGATCTCTTGAGGGCAGTTATTATTTCTGGTATTTCAGAGGTGTGTTAACCTAGTAGATGCACAAAGAAAATGGACAGGGCCTGTTTAAGAACCTCTGACTAAAGAAGTTGTAGGCCTGGGGTGTGACCACCCACCATGACCTGCCCAGCTAGGAATTTATGACATTACAGAAACCCTTTTTCATCCATGGTATGTTTAGAGTTGGGATACTGAAAGGAATGATCTAGGAATGTAGAAAATGGTAGCTAGAGTGTGTGGTTCAAAGTGAGATTTTGAGGAGTTAGTAACAAGTGTGACCAAGGGAGTGATTGGCTGAGGTGGAGAGAGGAGAGGGATTCAAGCAACTGTAGAGCTGGAGCCTTGGGTTGCTGTGGACACTGAAGCCAAGAATTACGGTAAAGTGTGACGTGAGTGATGTTTTTGTAGACTATACCTGGATATGTACATTTATAGTACATTTGTATGAATTAGATGACTGACACAGGTGTTCATGAGGCTTTTCCTCAGTCAGGATTTTGGAAACTAAAGTGAAAACAGGACCATTCAGTGAAAGGTGTCCTAGAAATTCTGGTTTATTACAAATGTTTCTTTTTTGATTTTAGAAAAACATCGATTTGTTGTTCCACTTAGGCATTCATTTACAAATGTTCTTGGAAAGGGAAGTAATTAAGGACAACTATAGATAATTCTGTATAGCATTTGAGTGACCCTTTCTGTGGTTAAAATCATTTTTAACTTAATAATCACACCAAGATCCTTTGAAAAGATCTTTCATACAGATAGTCAGTTTGTGCCTTTGCCAGCTAGTGGGAGTAAAATACTAAGTCATATTTTGCCAGCAGTTAACACAGGTGTTCTGTGTAATACATGCATGTTATGAAACATCCTGAGAAGAATGTGTTTCTATTCGCTTCTCTATGGTAGATTAGTGACAATGTAAACTTATTCCTAAATTATAGTATTTTTGGCATTGAAATAAACCTTTTAAGGGCAAATTTTTTTTGTATAGGCATTTTCAAATTTGACATCGTATTATGCAAAAGCTGTTGGCGAATATGCAAAATATTCAATTAAAATTAAATAACCAGTTAAACTTTTAACATCTAATTGATATTAAAAACTAAGGTCATTCGAGATTAATTGCACTGTGTTCAGAGGATTATTTCAGGCATTGTGGAGTTAGGAAAATATAAGACTATTTCATCAAGGTGTCTACAAAGAACTTAAGGGACTACATAGTGTTTTCTAAATCTTCATGTTACAACATATCTAGAAAATGACATTTGTAAGACACTCTGGGAGAATTGGATTGAGGCGTGGACTGGATAGTGAAAATCTAAGAAAATTCCTTGGCAAACAGAATAGAGAAACAGAGCTGAACACAATGGCTGAGCAAATTAGAGCCAGGCGCAAATGGTCACCAAATGGTCACCAGAGCGGAAGGCCCCACAAGTGCCTAGTAGGGAGCAAAACAGAAAACAAGGACCTCACCCCCAGGGTAACCTTTCCTCCCTGAAGATAAATAACATGTAGGGGATAACATCTAGGCCTCAGTTGTATTTCAGCTCCAGGCCCAGAAAAGCAGCAAAACCAGGTGGGCAACGCCAGAACCAACTGCAGTAATTAAAGACCTGTCCTGTCACCAATCAGTGGAGACCATGACCCTGAACGGTCACACCTGGAAAACGGATGAATATTCTGCTGAAACCGTCCCCTGTGACCTCCCCTAAGATTCCCGCCTGCAAGAAAGCCTAGAGTCAAAGGACCCAGGGTGTGCGTGCTCCCCCACTGGGGAGCAGCCAGTGCCGTTACCCTTCCCTTCTCCCCCCGCCCCCCCTCTTTTTTCCCCAAAGTCACACATCTCCCAAACACTAAAGCAGTGGGCAGCTGGCAGCTTGTCCCAGGCTGATTTCCTCAGTCTGTCCACTAAGCTTCCTTTGACTTCCCTGTTAGCGAAGGCAGCCCAGCCTAGGCTCTCCCCATTGCTGTTTGTATATGTTAAATCCTTGTTTCACTGTTCCAGTTTTAATACATGTATCTGCATAGCCACCTGGACTGGTGAAATCTTTTCCTACATGAAGTCAAGAATCCACGTACCACAGCTGGCCCTAGGCAAACCCATTCAGGGCTAGGGCCCTGTCTGGTAGCAAGATGAGGCTGCTTGCCCAATGCCCGACTGGTTGAGGGGGATCAGTATCTAGGTACACCTTGAACCTGTTTAGGAAGGTATGCCATGGAGAACACACATGTAAAAGACTTTAAGATTGTTTAAAAGTTAACAGAAAACCTAACTTACCTAAGATAGCTTTTAAAGGGATGTCAGGCCAAGTAAGGTTTCCTGAAAAGGATGAGTTTACTGTAGCCCACTAATATTTTTGTAAGTACGCACATAACCGGTAGGCAGGAAATTATGTTGTATCTCAATGAAGCATCAAAGGTTTCTAGCATAGCTTCATCAAATGCATCATGGTTCAGTAGTATTAGTTGAAAACTAAATTGGGCTTTTTAAATATGTGTCACAATACAAAATAAAATATGATACGAAATCATTTTTATTCCTAGTTTTGGTATAACCTAAGAACGGTGAAATCTTTTCCTACATGAAGTCAAGAATCCACGTACCACAGCTAGCACTTGTTAATTTTAAATATGCAGTGTTAAAAATGATCAATTTTCATTGCAGTGTGACTGTATCAGACACTGACTAAAAAACATACCATGTTATGTCATATCAGCCACTCATTCTAGTAAGTCTTCACTCAAGTCCTTCAGCTTGTAGGACTCCATGAAGTTAAAGCTCATTGAATTAAAAGAAGACAAGGAAACAAAGTTGATATGCCTGAGATGACTTCTTGGGGAAATCTGTAAAATGCCCAACTCTTCAACCAAATAAATGTCCAAGGAGTTCTCTTATTAAATGGATACTAACCTAACCCCAAAACTCTGTTGACTAAACAGTAAAAATAGCTACTTTCCTCTTTGCTTCAAGTTTTGTGCTGCTAACCTGCTGACTTAGTAGAATCTAAACACTGATGCAGTTCTCACTAGACCTCTATCTGGAGATGAGGGCTGACTTCTTGTCTCCCAGAAGTATAGCAAAGAAAAGTACCAAGAATCTGTAGCTATCTGAAGTATAAATTAGACACTTAAGGAAGACATTCTTTTAGAATGCAAAGGAATATAGGAGGTCAGTGTTCCAGAACACTGAAAAGATCTCAAATGAAGAAAAAGCAAAATTTTTTTTAAAAATCATGCTCATGTGCACTCATTTTCCCCTTTGGGGCTTTATGGTGGAGAAAAACAAAAAGGTATATTTTATGCCAGAGACTTGTCATGTCAAAAACCTAAACCAATCTAAATATCCCATTAACAGAGAATGAATACAGACACTGTAGTTTAACATTGGGATAGCATGCAGCTGTAAAAACTCATGAGCTGGAGCTTTATGTAACAACATACTATAAATGAGAGAAAAAAAGTCACAGAAAGGTAAGTACTGTATAATATTTGTAAGTTTTGTTTTAATAATGGTGTATAAGACATGCAATGGAGTTTGCAAAATAAGGATAGTATACGTGGGGAGGAACATAGAGGAATGGGACTGGGAAGGAGAGGGGTTCAATTGTGTAAGTATTTCTTAAAATGGATGATAGGTACACAGGTATTCATTAAAACATTCTCAAGTATTTTTATGTCCGATATATTCTGCAAGTTAGAATATACAACTTACACATGTTTGTAACTCTGAGGTAATATACAAAAAGTCATTTGACCCATATTTTACAGTGAATATTATTAAACATATGTACAGATTATTGCTGTTACCGAAAGTATCCTACACAGTAAAAAAAAAAAAAAAAATCTATTGTGAAACTAGCATAACCTTAAATAAGAATAGCACCAAAAAAAGGAAAACTTGAAAATTCCCTGTAAAATTAAGAGCAAAAATTCTTAATACAGTAATAACCAAAATATTTTATGACCAAGTAGAATTTATCACTGGGATACAATAATTGTTCCTTGTTTGCAAATCTAATAATGTAGCTCAGTACCTTAGCATATTAGAGGAGAGAAACATGTAATTCTCAGTAAATACCATTAAAACATTTTATACTTCTGTATTCAGTTCTGATTTTAAACACAGCATCTCAAAAATCAGTAGGTTAAAGATGAATTACTCTACAAACGGTCTTGGGAAAACAGTAGCCAGCTAGGGAAAAAGTTAATCTGGATCCATACCTCACAGCTCACACCAAGTTAAAATTAGATCCAAGGTTTAATGGTATAAAGCTCTTGAAGAACTCACGGTAACAATTTTTAAATTATTTCAGAGTATTAGAAGACCTTTCTAAGACCTCGGATTCCATGCAATAAAGATTAATGTATTTGACTTCTCAAAAATCAAGGTTTTCTATATGGCTTAGAATCCTTTAAAGAAAGACACATCCCCCACAGGAGAAAAGCAACTTACTTGATAAATGGTTCATTTTCCTAATGTCTGATTTTTTAAAAAATATATTTTATTGATTATGCTATTAAAGTCCCATTTTTTTCCTCCCCTTTATTCCCTTCTGCCTTGCACCCCCTCTCTCACCAGCTCCCTCCCCACCGCGCCCCAAGTTCATGTCCATGGATCATGCATAAAAGTTTTTTGGCTTCTCCATGTTCTATATTATTTGTAACTTCCCCCTGTCTATTTTGCACCTACTATTTATCCTTCCTATTCCCTGCACCTTTTACCCCATTTGCCCCTCTCCCCCTCCCCTCTGATCTCCATTCTGTGATTCTGTTCCTGTTCTAGTTGTTTGCTTAGTTTGTTACTGTTCATAGTTTTTGATCTTTTCCTTAGATAAGTTGCTTTAACATTTCATATAATAAGGGTTTGGTGATGATGAACTCCTTTAACTTGACCTTATCTGGGAAGCACTTTATCTGCCCTTCCATTCTAAATGATAGCTTTGCTGGACACAGTAATCTTGGATGTACTAAGATTCCCTCCTTATCTTTAATCTTGGGTAACGTAATTATGATGTGCCTTGGTGTGTGCTTCCTTGGGTCTAACTTTTTTGGGACTCTCTGACCTTCATGGATTTCCTGGAAGTCCATTTCTTTGCCAGATTGGGGAATATCTCCATTATTTTTTCAAATAAGCTTTCAATTTCTTGCTCTTCCTCTTCTCCTTCTGGCACCCCTGTGATTTGAATTCTTGTTTCTTCTTTCTGTTCTGGTTGAATATTTTTCTCCTCCTTCTGCTCCCAGTCACTGATATGAGTCCCTCTTTCCTTCCCTTTACCGTTGGTTCCCTGTATATTTTTCTTTATTTCACTTTGCATAGCCTTCACTTTTTCCTCCATTTTGTGACCATACTCAACCATTTCTGTGACCATCCTGACTACCAGTGTTTTGAACTGTGCATCTGGTAGGTTGGTTATCTCTTCATCATTTAGTTCTGTTTTTGGAGCTTTGATCTGCTCTTTCATTTGGGCCATATTTCTTTGTCTCGGTGCACCTGTTATGTTGGAAAGGGCAGAGTCTTAGGTATTTGCCAGGGTGGAGCAACCCAGGTGGCTGCATTATGACACTAGATGTGGGAGCGGTCTGAGAGGGAACAATGCTGCTTGCTTGGCTTTTGGCTGGCTTTAAGTCACTTCCCCCGCTACCCACAAGAAAATAGGGCCATTCTGGTGCTGATTCCCAGGTGGGTGGGTTTGTGTATCTTCTAGGACCCTGACGGTCTCTCCAACAGACTCTCCTGTGAGGCTGGAATTTTCCCCACTGTTTTTTACAGCCAGAGGTTTTGAGGCTTTCTTTTCCCACACTGGAACCCTGGATTGTGCAGTCTGTCTTGCTCCCCAGCTGTTCCTCCCCGTTTATCTGCACACAAATGTGGGACTGCCTAGTCTGCCAGCTGCCGCCTAGCAGTGCATCCTCTCCACACTGGCTGTCCTTCTCCACCCCTCCTACCAGTCTGAGTGAATGTTTCTTCTTTTACTCCTTGGTTGTTGGACTTCCATAGAGTTTGATTTTCTGGCAGTCCTGGTTATTTTTTTGTTTTTAAATTTGTTGTCCTTTTGGTTGTGCAAGGCGGCAAAGTATATCTACCTATGCCTCCATCTTGGCTGGAAGTCTTCCTAATGTCTCATTGATAGAGGAACTCAAGAGTTAAAGATTTTAGCTCTAGTTGATACACTTAGGTGATTAAGGTATGTGGAATGCTGCTTTTCCAGGAATTGGAATGCATGACCAGTGACTCCAGGAGGTCACAAGCAATTCAATCTTTGAGCCCAGGAGGTCTGCAAGCAATGGAGATGGTGTCTGAGCCATTCTGTTTCAGGGAAGGAATACCTTCATGCGGATAAGAATTGTTGATCAACAGTAAAGAAATACTAGGAAAATCACCTCAGGACTGCAGCCCTTAGTCAATCTT